ATATTTGTTGAATGAGAAAGGAGAATGTCCAAATGTGTCCAGGGAGATTAAGCTGGTGTCCTTGGAAGTTTAGCTGTAGAACTCAGACAATAATCTCCTGCCTTGTAGGGGCAGTGATGCTATTTTTCATTGGCATAAAGATAGTAACCCAAAAATGCAGCACTATAAAGCTACTCACAGCCACTGCAGCACAGAGTTGGATCCCCTGCCAGGAAGGTAGGTGACCCACATGGCAGGGCAGACCTCTCCTGACCCTCTTTGCTGCTCTCCTTTGCAGTGTATTTCAGTAGATCCCTCCTGTTCTGCTCCCCACTCTGTCTCTGGTGAATCTTCTCATAACCTGCAACTCTGGCCTCTTCACCAGTTCTTGTATATATAAGTAACTCTTAAAAAAAAAAAGTAAGAAAGAAAGAAAGAAAAAATAGCTAATTAAAAAATGTTAGGAGACATTAGATCGAGAAATTAGTGAGGTTAGTTTTGGAAATTGCAGAGCATCTATGCACTGTCTAGATGGAAATATCTGGAAGGTGGTCAAAGACTGGCCCTGGTTACAAATGAGAATATGACTCTAGAAATTAAGATCTGATTATTTTTGGTGACTTTATGTTTGCAATGTCAAAAGTGTAGATAGAAGAATCAGTAAAAGTGGTTCATGTGTCACCAGCATTAAAGATTAGATGAAAGCAGATTATCCACCAGAGAACCCAGAGTTAAGGAGAATCATAAAAATACAAAAGCATTTAAATCCAAAAAAAAAAAACCAAAAACTTTTATTTCCTTTCATAATATTATTTAGAATTTAAGAACAATTAAGAATAACAGTACAGATTTAAAAACCTAATTATTTTTTAAATTTATCAAATTACTCTGATTTATTCTTAATCTTTAAATTGGAGTTAGAAACATGAAAGAAAAAGTGTAACATACTATTTTAAAAAATGTCCTACTTTCTTTTGCTGAGTCTTCATAGTTACAATGTATCATGCTTCTTGTCCAAGAGCTAGGTCTGAAACTGACACAAAGACATAGACTTTGTTTCTCACCTCATAACTGGCCTGAACAGTACATCTTCATCTTCCATCCTTGTTTGGTAGGCATTGGTTCCCATTTTAGCAAGATGCCTGGCTCCGTCCAGCTCTCCCCTTCTCCTCAGCAGATCTAACAAAATACTCCAAAATGACTGCTTGGACCAGGCTGTATGGTGGCCTCCACTGTGCAGGCTGCTCCGCAAAGCCCAGCTCTGCAAAGCCCACTCAGAGCTGCCGGGGTGGGCTGGCTGGTGGTCAGTCACCATCCCATCACCCTGGCTGTCCTGCTGTGGCTGCCTGGCCTCTCTCTCCCTCCACCAGGAAACCCCCCCATTATAATTTTAAATATGTTTAGTCAATTGCGCCCCCCCTTTTAAAAAAGATATATTTATTTATTCATACAGAGTTGGGGTACAAGCTGGAGGTGCTGGGGCGTCACCGGAGACGGAGTGGGGAGCAGAACAAAAACAGGCAGATTGACGAAGTACACTGCTGAGGGTAGTAGCGGTTAGGAAAGGTCTGCTGCGCCATGTAGATCACCTCCGAGGCCAGGGATTGAACTTGCATTGTAGTGGTGGCGGCCAGCTTGCAGGGCTGCACCCTAATCTGTTGCACCACCAGGGAGGGCCTCAATTTCCCATTTTTAATGTTTTTGATGATAAGAAAAAATAGGGTCTTTTGTATTCATTTGCATGGATGTATAAATGGAGACAGTGGATGGGTGAAATAATATTTACAAGGTTGTAAGACTGCTGCTGCTTTGTAGTAATTTAGAATTTTGGGGTACTTTACAAGGCTTTAGGATGTGACCTATAAGAATAAACTGGATCTCATATTCATTGTTAAAAAGTTAGAGAAGGATCCTAAATTTACATGCAAAATAACATTATGAAGTGTGTTAGAGGGAAATAGGTCAGTGGAACTGGTAGGTCACATTAACCCAACTTATCTCCCTCTCTTTCTCCCGAGTTTTTCATTTCTTCATTCCACTCCCCGCTCACTCCCCCCCTTTTTTGTGTGTGTGTGTTAAATAGACCCATTATTTAACCTTTTTGTGTGTGCTTGCAGTTGAGAATTATAAATCTTTAAGCACAAGGTTGAGGGCCCACAGTCATTCAACCCATTTTATATGGGGCTTGCCCTGTAACAGTCGTAGATATCTCAGATGATCAGTATTCCACGATGCTATGGGTTTTTGAAAGACATTTTGATGTGGACAACAAACCTTGGCTAGGATTATGGCACGTGTTGTGGTGGAATATATCTCAGTGGCGTGGTTTCTGGAATTATTAATGAATGTGGATAATAATCACTCATGTATGTTCTTGATAATGTTAACTGGAGTAAAAATTTCAGTAAGTCAGTGAAAATGACTTCAGTATTAGCCAGTGAAAATGATTCTTAAGATTTTATTGTGAGAATTGTTCCGTTAGTCACACATTTGAATTTATATAGATATTATATTGATATAAGAAAGCTATTGATATTAAGAAAGTGTTTAATCTTGACATGGGGCCTGGGCATCTGACCTAAATATATGTTGATGCTATCTATGTACTGAGGAAGGAGACACAGGTTTAATCTCTTCCTTTCAAAAGAATGCATTGTGGAGATGCAAAGGCTGGGTACCTGCCCTTTTTTTTAAGCCTTACCTCGCTCTTAGGTTACTGGTTGAAAAGACTGGATTTTACCTGCAGGCAGCAGATTTTGCATAGCTGTTTCATGGAATTTAAATCTGCAGATGGCTTTGCTCTCGTTGTCTGCTAGATCAGGGATGGGTCTGCTGGAGAACATTTTCACAGTATGTTTATAATAAGGAGGAGCAGATGAAAGGGTAAATGGAAAACATGGGCTTCAGAGGATACACTAGTGACATGGTATTTGTGAACATTCCTGAACTTTTTGGTCCTTCAAATTTGAAGAAAATATGGAAATGGTGTTGGGGAGTGTTTCATTTATTATTTGAAGATGTTTTGGCTTGGAGTTGCCAAAATCACCAGCTAGAGAAAGTTTAAAAGTTGAACATTTCATTTTAATGTTTACAGAATTAGTATAAACTTCATTTTAGCAGTTTAATTTATTCTTAGATCTTTCAGTTTATGTGCATAGATTTTATATAAATGTAGCAAAATATGAACTTTGTCTTCTGAAATGAAACATTGCCACACTGAAGAACGATTCAAGTGTAGCCCCTTTTATAAAATGGTTCCTTGATAAACTGAGAATAAATTTTTAGGAAGGCTCTCATTTTTAATTAGACAAATTAAAATTCACATATTTTAACACTACAGCCATCCACTACTAAAGAGGTGGATGTTGAGATTAATAGTAAAAGGGAGACAGTTGATTCAAATTGTGGAATAGCTATTTAGAATTGGAAAGATTCTAATACTCTTCATTAACTCAAGAAATAGTGATTTAGGATTGCTACTTTGGTAGATACTACTTAGAGACACAGAGAAGGGCTTACTGTGTGCCACACTGTGCTACATAATTTTATTAATTCCTCTTAACAGCTCTTAGCATTGGGATTACTATTCCCATTTTATAGGAAAGTAGATAGAGGCCCACAGACTTTAAGTAATTCCCTCAAGGTAATAATGGCTGTTAAAAATGACAGAGGAGTTTGCTTTCACATCCAAGGCTGCATGATTGCAGAGCCTGAGCTCTCACATATCCAGGTCTTTTAAACCCAAAGGAGGGACATTACTATTTACTTGGTAGCACCAGGTGCTAGCCTCTGTAATGCACCTAAGAATCCTCAAGGTAAGTTTCATTATCATCATCCCAATTTAACCCCTCAGCTGTGTGCACTCCCCAGTGATTTGGCAGTTTGGCTGCAGCCCGTGGTAGATTGTGTTCTCATCAGATATTCATGCCAGTTTTATGATGCTCATTGGATGAAGTTGTAAGCTTAAACAATTTGGAAATATCTTTATTTTAACAACATTGTGAGGATATTCCTATAGAAATCCATAGTATGTTATGCAACTAGTTTTTCCCTTTACATTTTATATTCCTTTGATTTCTGTAATCTAGATTCTTAAAAAATAAGATTTTTTTCCTTAAGAGAAGTCCCAAAAACTGTAGAGCTCTACTTTGAAATCCCAAAGCTGCCTATAGCCACTTATAGCATTTCACTGTACTGTGCTTTCATTTTGCTAACTTTAGATGATGAGTAGGAAAACACATTTACAAATAGGAAAACAGTTTTAGATGTGATCTAGTGTGAATATTAAGACCATGTCAGTTTTAGTCGTTTGAGATTACATGCTTTAGGCTAGCGTTTTAAAAGATGTGTTCAGTTTTTTCTGTTCTCCCTCTTCCTTTTTTTTTCACATCTCCTTCCCTTTCAGGCTGCTATCCCCTATGTCCCCTGAACGCACCAGCAATTCCCTTCTAATTAAGTCAAACACACGCGTACATTTCTGTTGTAGGCGGCACTGTCAGTCTGTGCTAAAAGGACAAGTGTGTTACCTGCCCGGTAGCTGGGTGTTGCTGTGCACTTCTGCTACATTGCGAGGGAGGAGGGGACAATTAATTAGAAATCAGGAATGTAACAGTGAATGCAGCTTGGGTTAAAGACCACCAAGAAATCATAACAAAGGTCAAAAATGTTTTAAGTCTATAAATTGGGGTTCCAGTTTAATATTTCATTCTTAAGTGACAAAAAATGATTCACTGAGCCATATTTTCAGGGCTGGTGAAATAGAAAGAGCCTAGAGGTTGAAGATCGCTTCATTACGGCGCATAACTTCATTACGCTGGGTTTTTAAACGGTCTAGTAAAATTGAATCCAGATGTTAGCATTTCTTGGTTGTGTTTTAATTTGCTGCACTTAAAATCTTCTTGTAGAACCATGGTTGGCTCTACCTTAAAAAAAGAGAGCACCCCTCTGCTTAAGGGAAATGGTACTTCCTGCTTTCATAAACAGTCATGTGCATAGTTTAGCAAGGCCTGATGCCTCTGGAGCTTTTTCCCTTTATAGCACCATTGAATCCTAGTCCTAACAGAAGTGCTGCGAATCTTGTGGCCTCATTTTGAACAAAAGGGATTAGAGAAGAAAAATCTCTTGATTTAAGGCTTGACAGCAAAGGCAGGCAATCTTGGTTGTGAATATTTTCTGATTTTTCCAGAAATCAAGCAGAAGATTGAGCTGCTGATGTCAGTTAACTCTGAGAAGTCGTCCTCTTCAGAAAGGTACAGCTACATCTCTTGCATGAACAATTAATGGTGTAGCATTGCTAAAAAACAAACAAAAAACCCCCCAAAATCCCTTAGGATATGTGTATTTTTCTTGTCAAGTTTGGTACACAATGTTTTAAACTGCATGCTGGTCATTGTGCTGTATTGACGATGTGTATTTGGGCAAGCTGTTCTGCTTTTGGAAAGGGTAATTGATTTAAAAAAAAAAAAAATAGTGAAGCCTAATCAGCTGCAGCATGCACACCATAACACAGCAAACCGCTGGCTCATGTGTGACAGCTGTTGAAGGCTTTCAGAGATAATTTACTTTGCTGAAGAAAACCAGAAATTCTTGTTTTATTTAAGGAAATACTATTAATAGATTGTCTCCATGTATTTTGAGGTTGTTGTTTCACAAATTACCAACAGTATTTGTACGATCCAGGTTAAAAATACTTGACTTTCATTTGTAATGAATATTTTCTTATGTGGAATGGGAGTGCCATTTGTAAATAGCTTAGGAATTGCAAACCACAGATTAGTCACATTTTGAAAAAGAGATATGATGCTTCTTCAAGTCTGTGCTAGGAAATGGAACAGTCACTGCATGCAGTAATGGTTCATGCCTGCAGGTAAGGACAAAATGACTCAGAAGTATTTTTAAAGCCATTATTTTATCTGCCAGTCAAATGATTATACTTGTAAAAGAGATATTTCTTTAAAACGATTATTTGACTTAATAAATAAAATTAAGATATATCGCATTGGGAAATGAGGGTATTGTTGGTTTATTTTATATGAAAACATTGTATTCACTTATGTCTATTTAAATTGTGTACACTATATAATGTTTTGAATTAACCTTCTTGGACATGTAGTTGATTCTTAGCTTTCTCTTGGTTAACTAATAGTTTATACTTACTGATATTTTGCATTTGAGCTGCATTAATTTATATTTTTCTTGGCTAGCTTTCAGGGTTAGTGTTTTGTTCATAGATTTAGTTTTTTAGGAAAATAATTTGTTATTTAAGAATTGAAATGGGGAAAACATGGAAAAAAAAACCCGAGGTGAAGGACCTAGCATGGTTAAGATGGATTTAATTAAAGTACATTAATGTACTTTAATGGTAAAATGATGACTTTAAGTCGATTTATTAGCATAATTAGGTGAAAGGCTCCTGACTGTAAGTTAGGGCTCTACAAGTAAGGTAGATGTTTCTGTTCACTTCAGTGGTTGAAATAGCAAAATTAGGGAACATTTGTGTTTACTTTTATGTAGATTCTAACTTTAGGTCTGTGGCTAGCCATCAGTTTTAAACATTCTGTTTGCTGAGATGAAAAACAGTCTTCAGCCTTGTGAATGTTCTGCCAGTAAAATGGTGGTGATGGGAAGGGGAGGGTGGTGGTGTAAATAGTGAATGGTACCGGTGCTCTATGTAACGCAGTTTTGTGATTTGCAAGAACATTCTTAATGGTGTGACAGCAGTAATTATGCTAGTTTTTTTTTTGACTAACATGAATTGTCTATTGATAATTGAGAACTGAGCAGAATGGATGAATATTATTGAGAAAGAAATTAGCAATGGGTGAGTTTTTGTTTTTGGTTAAATTCTTATAAGGAAAGATTCTAAACTAGTTTGATGGCTGCACTTACTGTTGTTATTAACCAACCAACCTCCTGTGGTTAAATTTGATGGAAAGGGAAGCTGCATATGGTCATGATTTTAAAGTTTAGAAAGCAGCCACTGTAGTTTTACCAGCACTTGCTTTCTTTTTGTTTGTTATTCTTTTGGGGAGGGTGCCTAGAAATATATTTGATAGTTATGATATGCTAACTTAATGGGAAGTAAATGTAGTTGTGGTTCAGCCAACATTTTGCAAATGTAGAATCTGTTGCATTAATATAAATATATTAAAAACAAATTGCCTTTTTAAAAGACAGTGATGAATAATCAAATCATTTGTCTTTTTAATAATGCGCTTAGAAGAACGTGAAAAACAAGAATCTGAAGTTTAAAAAAAAATTTAATGGCTTGGTAACAATATATCCTATCCAGGAATTTGACAGCTTACTGTATCATATAGCATTACCGTCACATTCTTCAGTCTTTTCACTAGTCACTTAAACTTAGCGGTGTTTGGTTGTTTTTTAAAAAGTGATTTGAAGTATTAAGTTAGTATTAAAGATATTTATAATTTAAGTATGGTAGGTATTCCTAGCTACTGATTTTTTTTTTTAAAGATTTATTTATTTGGGCATACAGAACTGGGGTACAGGCCAGAGGCTCAGGGGCGGTGAGAGGCTTCACCAGAGACAGTGGGAAGCAGAACAGGTAGATCT